TTCTTAAATAATTCAAATCTCTTTAAATAATTCTCTTAGATAATTTAAATCTCTTTAAATTGGATTGAGCACGCAACCTTTCTTTTGTTCGGTCCGGTCTCTCTAGGTATCCTCAATAATACGTAAACTTATAAACAGATTTCATTGTCATATATTTTAAATTCATTATAGGACCTTCATTATTATAGCATATTGTATTGTTCATAGTATGTTGCGACCTGCTGTAACGTCGTGGCGCAGAGAACGAAATTTCACTCAAACTAAATTTTCGTGTAGTTACCAGAATCCGTGTTTTATTTAGTAAGTTATTATTACAAGCTTTTATTTAACTTGCTATGTATGTTTGTTACGGTCTAATCTTACAACTCAATTTTAAAGCACTTGCCCTCAACCGGTTAAGCTGAAATTTGGTATGCTCGTTCAGTTCGGATGACAATGCATGATTAACAGTGTGACGTCATTCTAAATCCAATATGGCGGCATACCCAAAATGGCGGACCAATCATTTTTAATGCATTCCTACAATATGGGTATCAAATTAAAGGGCTTGCTGAGAGTAACTCGAAAAAAATGTAACGTCACTCTCAATCCAATATGGCGGACTTTTAAACGCGTTCAGTTTGTTTGACAATGCATAGTTAATTGTGTGACGTCATTCTAAATCCAAGATGGCGGAACACCCAAAATGGCGGATACTTTTTTTTCTTTTTAGCGCATTTGAATAAAAGCTGGTTTTTAAAAAGGTTTTTTAACCTTAATTTTAATTAACTTCACAACAAAAATTGATGAAGTTGGAATCGCACTGTGCATTTATATTTTTAAGTAGATATCTACCTAAGTTAAAGCGTTTGAACTCTAGGAATTAGTTAGCCCGAACCAATATAGAATTCGTAACGTTTGCGAGTTCGAAATGTCATTGTTAAATGTGAACTGATTTTTAGTTCTCCTTACGTACTTTGTGGCGCTGCTGTTCAAGTTTCCATACAAAATTTGACATTGACATTTCGCACTCGCAGACTATTGGAATTCGATAATGGTTCGTGCTAGGGGTATAGAGATGGCAACTCGTCTACGTTACATTGTATTAATTTATTCTCTTCGCTCGGCAGCTAAATGGTCTAACCAACAAAAACATTAGAAAGTGTATAATTGTTGTTGCTGATAAAATAATCTACACCACAATTGAGTCGGCAATGGACGCTTTGCAACTAACCGATTTTCCCTTCGGTTTTCACGCTTTGATTGTCATCGTTCTAGGAACTGATGATGTGCAGTATGTTGCAGTCCAGTCTGTGGTTACTGCGATCACGTAATCAACTTCTGGTTTGTTTTTTTTTCTTTTATATTCCGCACACACAGAGTAGTTCATTGAAAACTATGACAATGTGACATAGAATTTTATTTATCGCTAATAAATAAATAAATAAATATTTCTAACACTCCCACCAATTAGCCTAGCTCCAAAGTAAGCACTATAAGGCTTGTGTTATGGGATACTAGGGTAACGGATAGAATTAATATACGTACAGTATATGTATTTATAATTATATTACACATAAGCGCTTGAAACCGGTTTAAAAAATACCGGTAAATAAAGGATAATACCGGTATTTAGTAAAGGTTTCGTTCGGAGCGCGTCCGAAATGAACGCGGTACCTAAAACCTAAATAAACCGGTTTAATCCAGAGCGACACGTCCACGCGTCGGCATCACTTGATGTTTGCTTTGTTTGAACTAATCAAGTTACAACTTGTTAATGCTCAGAGATTGATGCATTTAATGACACGTTTGCTAGCGTCTAGTCTGTCAAGTTATTCATTTTGTAGTTGTGTATTTATTTCAGTCGTCAGTAAGAGCGAAACGAAACCCTTTAAAAACCGCTAAATTGATTCAAAACCTGTTTGATCTCGCTTTTTAGAAAAACCGTTTTTTTTAAGTTAAGGTAGAGCCAAGCCTAAATAAAACGCTCCTCACTCTTGCTTACATTTTAAATCTTAGTGGTGAAACCGATATTATTATAAAATTCCACATGCTAAAGTTATTTTACAGGAATTTCAATTAAATTTAATTTGAAATTACATTTTTAAGTTTAATTTACAAGTTGGAACTTTAGTTTTTAGAAAATCCTACTAAAAACTAAAGTTCCAACTTTCAAGCCTTTTTTGAGTAACTTAAAGTAACTTCAGGAAGCATTTCAAGCATGGGGTATTTTCGGCCACCCCCCGGTGCGAGGAATCTAAAAAAAAAATTTGACGTTACTAATTGGACCATTCTGTATATAAGTTTCATTTATACTAGTGCTGTAATTTTCTTTACGACATAAATATAATTAAGCTTAATATGCATTAAGGTAGTGTTAATTTAAATGATCGTTTTTGTTTTGAATACTAAATACAAATGTATGGAACATCTGATTGTTGTTAACACGGCTGTTCCCACGGTCAATTAAAATTGAAAGCATCACGGTACCTTAAAATCTAATTAAAAACCATGTTCACGTAACAATCTACCTAGTACGTACCATCTCTAGTGTGTTGCAATAATGTCGTAAGTAAGAGATTTTAAATTGTAATTATGCAAAAACGTAACTTGAGTTTTGGAGCGTAAACTTTGAGATTTCGTGAAATCCGTGAAAAAACCTACGTCTACGTCTTAATAACAACAAACGTAAGTGTTGTGTAATAATTTATAAATCTATTCACCTGGCATCAACAACGGGGCTAATTATTGTTAGGTACTTATGCTGTTTTCTTACAAATTTCTGAGGAAATTAGAGTTGAAATATAATAATAATAATTAAACTGATTTGGTACCTACAAATATAAATCTTATATATAAAATTCTCGCGTCACAATGTTAGTTACCATACTCCTCCGAAACGGCCTGACCGCTTTTTATGAAATTTTATATGCATATTTCGTGGGTCTGAGAGGTCTGAGTGATTATGGTTGTCCACCTGTAACGTGTGTAAGTGTTCTGAAACCTACAATGCGCCTTCGCACCAAAATTCAAGCTATTGGGTATTGTAACGTAGTGTTCTCATATGGGTTAGGAGGAATGTTATCTCAGGAAATTGATAGAACACTACGTTACACACCCCTAAAATTAGTTTTGGACAATATTTTTTTTTATGATGTGGTATTAAAAATACATGCAATCCTAAATTTTCTCTTCTACCAACTGCTCCTATTTTATTATGGCGGTACGAAGTTCGATGGGTCAGCTAGTAGTTAGATTATTTTATTTTAGTAAACAAACACCCTCGGACTTCATCCACCAAACAAAACATAGAATAAAGAGAAAATTCTACAAGAAAAAAGTCTCGTGGTCCAGGCAGCAGATGGGAACCGCACGAGCCCGGGAATCGAATCCGCGATATAGTGTAGGTACGATAGAATGTGTAAATTTGACGATGACGATACGATTACGGATCTGTCAAAGTTTGTGGTTAAGACTCAGATTGACTGAGTTATCTACGCTCAGCCTAAGTCATTGGATGTAGAGAGTTGATTTTAACTCAGGTGTTGTCTTTATGATGTAGGTACTAAGTAGCAGTAGGGCGATTCAGTACAATAAAATCTCACTTAATATTTCGGTAGCTGCCCTTTTAGACATTATTTTGATATGCATTACGCCATTACACGGCAAAATGTCGCTATATCCCTAGAAGCAGCTAGTATTCGATATTTGACATTTGTCAGAAATCCGAATAAATGATATTGCATCTAAAGAATACCTATGCTGGTCATGAAGGACTTCTAAGTGTTTACATTTTTGTAGGTTGCACTTCTATCCCGTGTAAACAGCACATGTCCGTTTTTTTAAATTTTATTTTATTTCGATTTGATTTTACTTTGATTTGATTATATTTTGTATTCATTAATTTATTACCCTATGATTTGTTATGTTTCATTTTGTATAAAACCGTATTATTTATTTTAATATAAGACATTTGATTTGATTTATAGTATTTTTTGTCTTTTTTATGTCACAAATTCTTTAATTTGTGACGACCGCAGTAGCCGAGTGTTTTATACGCCGGGTTTCATGGTGACGCCGACTCGAGAGGCCCCGGGTTCGAATCCCGGTGAGGGCAGATGTTTGTGTGATGAATACGAGCATTTGTACTCCAGTCATGGATGTTTATTATGTATTTCTATATAAATTCAATCATATATGTAAAATTTATGTATTCTATCCGTTCCCTAGTATCCCATAACACAAGCCTTACAGTGCTTACTTTGGGGCTAGGCTAATTGGTGTGAGTGTTGGAAATATTTATTTATTATTTAATTATGTAATAATAAGCCAAATGTAAAATAATGTTTCTTATATGTTGCGATGCCCTATCAGGGTTCATGTTTGATACCAATATTATGTACATCACCTTTATAACCACATGATTGCAATAAACTCTTGAACTTGAATCTCATGTGACATCTAAATGTTTATTTGTCTCCTATCATAAGCAAATAAAGGAAGCTTAAAGCTGCGGAGCCATATATCCGAATCACTATTTTAAAATAGTAAATATCTGTGCAGTACTTTCTGTGTGTAATGGTATTACTTAAGACATACGAGTAAGTCACATGACTCTGTATTTGTTTTCAAGAATTTAAAGTTACGTTTATTCCTAAAAAATACGAATTACATAAGTTCAGTAAAAAATATTTAATTCTAAAAAAATCTTCTGCATGACTTCTGCAAGTCTTGTAGCCCCGCTAGTGATGGGCATAATTTGACGTTTCATGTAAATTAATTCATATAAATAATTAATTCATATAAATATAATATTTATCGTCATCAAAAAAAAAAGGATCAATATATTATGAAATATTGATTCTTTTTTTTTTGGAGGTTAGTGATTAACGTGTACTAAAATAAAATTGTTTTGGTTTTGAAAACTGTTTTGTATTATATAATAGCTACTTCTTCAAATGATATTATGTGTGTCAGTGCGTATCCATGGCACATCGATGCGATGGTGCAATGAACAACTGTCAAACCAAATAATGCGACGCCACGCTGCCGCCGGGTGCGAATGTTAATTTTCTATCAACAAACTGACTGTATCATCACAGGCATCACACATGGAATGGGAGAAAAGAACGAGGCCGCTGCCCGCGGCGGCTTCAGTCGCTCAACACGCGCAATTCGACATGGACAAGTGTACCAGTCGACATGTGCTCTCGTTCACGTAACCGAAACACCGGCCATATTGAAAACAAAAAGCGAACGTCAAACTTTTGGCGCGAGTTTTGACAGCTTTTTTGCGACCACAGACTTATGGTGAGCCGTGTTATCGGAACGGGTTTCGTGTAAAGAAAGTGAATTAACATTTTTACAAATTAACGTGTCGTGTGAGAGTGAATGTGAAACCGTTCGTTGCGTAATAACAAAAATTCCTCTATCGAAATATTATCATCATCGGACATTTATTATTTTCGTTTGATTAAGTGTTATTCGCTGTATCCATTAATTAGCATGGTACGACGAGATTGGATAGTGTCTTGAACCGTCGCTGAACTGTTCTTTATCTTAAATACCCTTTTTTGTGTCATCCGTTTATGTAGGCATTAAACGGGCATTCATTTTTTGCGGAAATCACTGCGAACAATAGTTTATATGGGAAAATTGGTCTGGCCGAGGCCATGTAGAAATTTCTCGGAAAAAGTTGGGAACTGATCCACGCATGTGTTCATGGTTATAATTATTGCCTTTCGTTTCGAACAGTAAAGAGTTTTATGTTAGCATTGGCCGGCTCTTACCTTATTTGCATGAGCATACCTAGTCATGAAATGGCCAACGCGCATATTTAGTTGGGATACGCTCGGTTGCACTCTTTTCGAGGCTTTACAAGGTTGTAACTAATTAAATATTCATTTCACTCAGTCAGCCTGGTTATTTGAATTCTAAATACATTATTTATATAACGAATATCATATTAGAATTTTGACGATTCTGAAATATTAATAATAATAATTAATTTATTTCAGACAACTGTGATCCATATTTGTTAGTAGACTTATTCTATGTTAGTAGTATATGTATTGTAGAAATAATATATTAAGATAGTACAACTAATTTTTACTTTTCATTAATAATATAGACGATAGAATTATTCGAAAAACAAACATGTCGCCAAACATAAATTTAGAAAAAGTGTCAAAATTTACGTGCGTTAACTAAAGGTTAGTATGTAGTTATATCTATAGAAAGAGTTAAAATTACATGAATGAGTTTAGAACATGAATACTATTATAGACGATGAAAAATTAGGGATGAGAACAAAATCGATGTATATTTAATAATAGTCTCAATACTTATATAACAAACAAAATAAGCTCAAGTAAATTAATTCAAATTTACGTAAATGCTTACTTTGTCAAACTTAAACGGGAAAAGTTACACTCTGCTTTTGAACTTACCGAACTCATTGTGATGTACATTACATTGAAAAGCACCTTAAACTATCGTCGAGAAACTCAAATGCTATTTTCATTTTCTGTTTGATCTTGAGTTTAATAGAGGTTTATCTTTTAATCTCTTGTTAATTGATAGGTGATTAATGTTGTTGTATCGCGTCATGCGTTACATCGAAAGTAGATGTACTATTGCACGCCACGTGCAAGTACGTGTTTTTTGAGTGTGTATGCTGTTTGTCGCAGATGATCTTTACAGCGTCACCGGGTTTTGGGGACGGCGAGATCCTAATGGGACCTCAAGCCGAGAATAGGCGAGTGACTCTAGAGGTATTTCAGGCGGATGGCATCTCCCCACGGGGGGAGTCTTCTCTCCGTATGGAGCCTCTAGACCACTCGAACTTGAGCGGGTCGGCTCAACTAGAGGGCGTCTCTGAGACTCGGACCTCGGCTCTAGTTAGCCCTTGTCGTGGGGGTTGCAAGTACTGTCGATATCTTATATAATAATATTTTTTGCAATAATGAATCTTCATAGTGCATAAATAAGATTAAAATAAAACATGTAAAATTATACGTTTAACATGGATGCATTGACTTATCAAATAAACAAGCGGCTTTAAATCTATATACTTAAATAAAAGTAATAATCAGAATGTATACGCGCATAACTCCCGAAAAATTAGATCAAATCGTAAAATTATTTTTATTGCAAGCATAAGATTTGTATAAAAGAAAATTTCAAAAAAATATATCAGAAAATACAAATGTCGTTATATAATTCGTCAGGTCAACTTATATAGAGGCTGTACGGAAAGAGAATGGGCGTGACGAAAGACGGAACTAACATTAAGATTTTTATTTGGCAATTAAACGCAGCAATCTGTAAAACGTCAAAGTTTTGTATTGATACGGATTTGTTTGTTGTTGTGATTTCTTGCGATTTTTTTGTATTCAATCACGTCTAGAAGGGGTAAAACCTTACTAATACGGTAGATAAGCACTACAGCGCCCTCCAATTTCACTCCAATTGCACTTTCCGCTCAGACTCTAACATAAATTTTAACTAGAAAATTCCAAAAACAAAAGAAAACAAGCCAATTTGGTATCACAGATCTCAAGTCCTATTTAAAAGGAAACATATTCCTACAGATTTCTCATTTATCTATAACAACAACATAAAGGTGAGCACACAACCAATTGACATTGATAAGGCTTTTAACAATTCAGATGCGTCCCATAGTGGCGAATGTCACCGGATAGAAAGCTCCACGTGAAACGGCCGCAGTTTCAAAATGTAGGATAGGTACATCCTCATAACATACTCGAGGTCACTAATACTCGTATGTGTACACCGTTGGAATTTGTCGAAAGAAACAATTTAACAATTCCTTAACATTCCACCGATACTAACTGTACTATACCCTTAGCACGAACCAGTATCGAATTCAAATAATTTGCGAGTGCGAAATGCCATTGTCAAATGTGTACAGAGTTTTAGTTCTCGTTACGTCCACTGCGGCGCTGTTGTTCGAGTGTCCATACAAAATTTGACATTGACATTTCGCAAACGCAAACTATTCGAATTCGATATTGGTTCGTGCAATGGGTACTGTATACTAAGGACGATGCAGTAGCTTAATACAAAGCTCGCTAGCTAGCGCCATATTGGAGCGGAGATGGTGTCGGGGCGTGATAACATTTTTTTTCCTATAATAGAATTCGTGAATAACGTGAGATCGTTTTCTAAAACTTGTCAAATACCCTATTTGCAATATGGCAGGTTTTTTATCGCGTGTTACTGTCAAACTCCATAGTAATTTGACAAATGAGCGTGATAAAATTGAGTTTCATATCATATCGCGGTGCTCATTCTAGGGTGGCTGGAGGCCTGCAGACCTGAAGTGGTCCGCGTAGCCATTCGAAAAATATTACGTAGGAAGAACGATGATTGATTTGTCTGTCTATTGAATGACAAATGGCATTTGAGTGACATGAACAAAACACGGCGTAACTAGTCTAACCTTATTCCTTGTTTATTAATAAGGGGGTAAAAGTTTAAGAACCACTAATGTTTATCTTATTGTTAAAGTCATTTGAGAATAAAAGAGTACTTTCAAAATTACGAAAAACACAAAATAAACAATAACTCTTTATATAACTCGCGTATTTTAAACAGCTGATTGCATTGTCTCTCATTACTTTATTTATTAATCAAAATAACATAACAATACAGCGCAGATAATTTATTTTGCTGTTTGATTTGTTAATCAGGATGGGAAATTTCATCTTATGTTTTGTAACTCTTTATCTTTGTTTGTCTTTAATGGTGATTGTATCAATCGTTTTCCTGATACTATTTAGTTACGGTCGTACTTATAAGACCTACTTGGATAAGATTCATAATCTACAAGTAATAATATTGCAACGAGTTATCTCGCCCAATGTAAAACAACAATTCTTATCATCATCAGCAACAGCCTATCCTAGTCCACTGCTCGACATAGGCCTCTCAATGAGCCTCAGACGAAAGTTTGTTATTAAAATATTGTAACGTACTGCCAGTTAGCGAACAGTCTACATTTCAACTTCTTAAAGAAGAATTCTTCAATATTTTTATTAGAAAACCCATAATTCAGAATAAAGGCACCCGGGCGAACGCTCTCGGCTTCCTAGACACGACAACGGTGCACAACATCTACGGCAAACCTACTGTAGATTATTTGTTTCCTCGTCTCATAAACAAAATGGACCCAGAATTTAGTGAAAATAATATAAAATGTAAACTTAAAATGTTGTTTTTAAATAATAAGTTATGCGACAGTGAAAAGGTTAAATTATTGAATTGTGATGTGCGGCGAATATAGTGCAATGCAGCCGACGCGACTAAGAGGGGAGTAGCCATAATGACATAATACTACTCAAATCATTCTGCCGCTTTTTTTCGGGGGAAGGAATATGCATACAAATGCAGTCCAACATACTTTCGCAAAATCAAAATTGTACTAACGACACTCACACATGAAAAAATTTTTCATTTCGATAATTCGTTCGTCCGATAATAATTTGACAGTTAAATTCTCCAAGCCTACTCTAATTCACAATACTTTCGAACGAAAAGTTGAATTTGACATATAATTGTTCGAAATTTTAACCTCAAATTGACAAAATGAAAAGTGTTACCCTTTCTTTTTAGTTTTGGGATCTTTATTTGATTTAAGTCTAAAATGCTTGATAGAGTATTTTTCATCCAGGCTGCTTAGCTCGAGGAACATTTTATAGCATGTAAAATTAACAAAGAAACGAAATTTTTAAAATTTATTGTATTTCCAATACTTCAAAATATTAAACAACAAATTTAGGTTGACATACAATCGATTGTATCAACTCTACAAATTATTCGGCTAACACTGTCAAAAAAGGTTCATTCAATGTCATCAAAAATGTATTCATAAAGTAATATTGTTTCCAAGTAAAAAACGTTATTCAAAAAGTAAACATAAAAGAACTCACAAACATGACTCACTCCATTCGTTCAAGAAAATTGTTTGTGATTCCGAACTTTAAGTGCGTGTTCGAAAATAAAATAGAGTAGAGTCACTGGCGAAATTTCGTTTGAAATTCGTTCGTTACCGAAATTCCGTTCGGGGACAGAGAGTAGAGCTCCAGGTCCTCTACATTTATAGAATCCAATCAAATTTAGTCCTAGTCAAAGTACGCAACGTGTTAGTCTAATTCTATCATTATCATAAAGAAAGTGACAACATTAAATTAATGATTGTTATCTTCGACCATTCGCGTGACACTTTGTGTTCCTACACAATTATTAATGTGTTGAATGCATCGTACATCTAATTACGCCGACCATCGGAAAGTGAAGTTTTTCTTTGTGGCCATATTATAGTCGTGCCGTTGACCAATTAAGCCTGCGACGCCGAATAAGTCTTTTTACTTTACAAGGAAAAATTATTATAGCGAGAAACCTTGCTGATGATGTTAATGAAAGAGTTTCAAGTCGCACATTCGGAAATTTCTGATTTGAGATTCTTTTTTTCATTCGAAATCTGAATGGTAAAGTTCCTTTGCTTCCGAGCTTCCTAGCACATTTTTAGGATGGAAATAGATTTTTGAAATTAGAACCTTTCAATTTATGTACATACTAGCGGCCCGCCCTCGGTTCGCTTCAGTGTAGAGCTGAAGTATAGACTACAGTTTTTATTCTCAGGCTTGTATTATACACAATGACATTCACCTATGATTCTTCTTATACCTGCATGCAAAGTCTCAGCCCGATCGGTTTAAAATTGACAAAGTTTCATACAAACTTTCATTCCCTATTTTATCCCCTTGGGGGTAGAGTTGATCAAAATCCTTTCTTAGCGGATGCCTACGTAATAACATCTACCTGCATGCCAAATTTCAGCCCGATCCGTCCAGTGGTTTGGGCTGTGCGTTGATAGATCACTATGTCAGTCAGTCACCTTTGAGTTTTATATATATAGATGGCCATCCATCCATCCATCAGCCTTTCTCCGTCCACTGCTGGACATAGGCCTGCCTCATAGAACGCCACAATGCGCGGTCCTGCGCTATCCGCATCCAGCGGCTCCCAGCATATTTGGCGATGTCGTCAGTCCACCTTGTTGGGGGCCGCCCCACGCTGCGTCGTCCGGTACGTGGTCGCCACTCGAGGACCTTTCTTACCCAACGGTTGTCAGATCCTCGAGCGATGTGGCCTGCCCATTGCCATTTCAGCGTGCTAACTCTTCGGGCTATGTCGTGCACACCGGTCCTTCTATATATAGATGGCCACTGAAAATGTATTAATAATTTATTCAACCTAATTTTAAGAATAATGCACTACCTATATAGCTTCCCTCCGCGTCCTTCACGTCTCGTACACTTGATTCACGCCTCGCATTTATCATAGTTCTATATTTTGAACCACTAAAAAGCAGTGGTTCAAATTAGGTATGCGCAAAATACTTAACTGAGTGTAAAGAGTGATATAGTCCGATTGGACTACTAGTTCACTTGGTGGAGTCACCTTATCATTAAGTTCAATCGCGTCATTTCATTCATTTAGTTCAATCTTTTCCGTAGTTCTAATGGTTAGGTGTGTTCTTATGAGTCGTCATGTCAATTTGTCTTTATAACTAACCTAATCTTTATAGATATGTATGATAAATAACATAATGCAGGCGTAACTTAAAGTTCATTGAAATGTTTATAATATTTTACAGATTTCACATACGAATTTACACAGGTTTACTAACTATTTAAAGGCCTTATTATTTATTTATAGAATAACTACTTTGGCAATGGCGTATTTAAAAATCAGAATAAACAACAAAATCAAATTTGAAAATGTAAACAAATTAAGCCTACAGTTGAAATTCAAGTAAAACTAAGCCTAATGTTTACGCAATAAGACGTCAAATTGAGAAAGGGTGGCTTCCGACTCCGGAGTCGTGTAAATGTCTCGCTACCTAACGCGGTGTTCGTGATATATCCGTTCCCTTTACTCTCATTCAGTGCAGAGTGAACTAGACGAAGTATTGAACTAATTGGGACCTGAATGAACGACTGACGGAGATATGCTTGCTAAGTGGATTAGTACAATTGAAGGCCTCTCAGAGTCGAGTGGTCTAGAGGCTCCAGATGGAGAGGAGACTCCTCCCGATGCCAACTGTCTGAAATACCTCTAGACTCACTCGCCAATTCTCGGCTTGAAGTCCCCTTAGGATTCGCCGTCCCTAAACCCGGTGACGCTCAGCCCTAGCCCCCGGGGACGTATGGAATAGCGTCACCCCGGGACTAGGTCTGACAAATCAATAAAGCAAACAAAAACATATACCACGTAAATCAGACCAATGGAATAAAGTAAACAAAACGAAATAATAAAAAAAAAACCCGGTGACGCTGTAAAGGTCATCTGCGACCAACAGCATACACACTCAAAAAAAAAACAATTGAAGGATTCATTCACGAACGACTCAACTCTAGTTCAAATATAGAACCTTAAGCTTGGGGTTCAATCCTGGAATCTTCCTCTTGCTCAGCATAGGTATTATGTAAGATTCAATCTCACTTACGATCTCATTAATTCGGATTTTTGACAAATGTCAAATATCTAATACTGGCTGCTTCTACAAACATAGCGTCATTTTGCCGTGTAATGGCGTAATGCATATCAAACTCATGTCTAAAATGGCAGCTACCGAAATCGGAGAAGATTTTATTTTACAGAAGCTACTTTGTAATCTTGCATTACAAGATTTTTTTTATGCTCGAAACAGGAACACGTCGTCGGCTTCACTTCGTGAAAGTGTAATTGTATTTTTTTTACCATGATTTTAGTATTTTCATAATATGACTTACACAATCGTGTTCATAGCGGACTATGTTAGCAAATATATAAGTAGTAATGTTACGTCGCTTTGCAGTATAAATATTATACATAGTAAATAGGCATGACTTTTTGTATGTAGCGCTTTATTAAATTTAGAAATCTGTATCTTTTGAATATCGTTTCTTTAAATACCCCCAATAAGACCTCAACCCCATAGGCCCGTTTTTATTGGTCGATAATATCAGATGCGTTATTGCGATAGTGCGCCTTACTTGCAGTAGTGTGTAAATTCGTAACCATGTACTAGAAAACAGATACCGCAATAACTCATCCTATATTATCAACTTATCCTCATCACATCCTATATTTTACGTAGTTTTACGCGGCGAGGCTGAAAACAGTAGTGTGGCGTTACAAATACACATGTTTTTATTTTTGGTTCACTTAAAGGTTTTCATATATACATGAGGCAATACATATTTTTTATCGCATAAAACACATTATACACGAGGAAAAAAATATCTTTCGTTCCTCTTTTAAGTCTGGTGGAGCGTCCAAAAACCGTTTTCTTAAAGATTTGTAAATTATGTCCAAAATTGAGCAAGTTTTTTACAGTTATGTTTTTAAAATCATGAAATATATTAGTTATTTCAACTATTTACAATTTTATTTCCTTTCTAGGTCCTAATTTACATTGCAGGGCTCATGTTGAGAATCTTTATTTTAAATTTAAGAACCCATGTATGTACCAACATGAAGCAATAAAGGTTATGAGAAAGGTTCGTCCGCGAATAATTGATTAATTTTTGTGGGTATACTATAACGCGTGCTAACATGTATTTACAAGTTAAAAAGAAACACCATTTGTGATTCCTAGAATCTCTCAGTAACGCTCTGTCAAGTAACAGTGTCTAATACGTTCTAACCTGCTAAGATTTTTCGCCAAAAATATAAGTTTAACAAGTATCGGCAATCTGACAAAATATCATATTAAACAAGTTTGACTCGTTTCTAATTTTGGTGGTTTTGGTGGTAGGTTAATCTACCAAAATTGTTTTAATACACAAAAATTAGAAGATCGGTTATCAGGTACTTATCAATTTCAACTCCGGTTTAAAGAAATGTTAAAACAAGTTGACTTATGCCCCAAATAGTCCAAGATCAGATATTTCAACCTATTTAGCTATTCAAGCCCACTCGCATCACAGTTCTTAATTGAAAATAAGGCTTAATCATGTTTAAAACATTATTCCATCTTTGTCTGAATAATTATTCAGACAAAGATGGAAGATAAATGTTTTAGTCTAATTCTATCTTAGTCAACTAAGATAGAATTAGACTAAAACATTTATTTATTAGCTTTATAATTAGAATTAGGTGTGAATTTTAGTACAAGTGGGCATAAGAAAAGAAAAAAATTAAGAAGCTATTAGAAAATTAAGTCTGTTGAAATAATGAAGCTGAAACAAACTATTAAGTAATCAATGCATAATCGATATTCATTCATAAACCAACGTAGTGAACCAAACAAACAGCATGCATCTAAGAAACAGTTTAGCGACGGCTTACAAGACACGGTCACATTTCGTCGTTACCTAACCGAAACGTAACGCAAACGCGGAACTTGCCGCGTCACTAATTAAAAAACACGAAACTCCCCAACTTCTATTCTAGCGGACTTATTTTCTGTGCTCGTTTTACTCAGTAGTGACAGTTAAGTAACGAAAACAAAAAAGGGAAACTTCGAATGCGCCGAGAGATGCGTTAGGAAGATGCCCAAGGAACGAGCGAGGGGCGACGACGGTTGCAACGCAATAGCGAGGTTGATAAAGGACTTGTGCAGTTGTTCCGAGAACGGGGCGTGGTCGCCGGAGATGACGTCAGAGAAGCGGAAGGACCCCGTGCTGAAGAGTGAGCTAACAAACATGTCAGCGATGCGGAGACGCATCATGACATTAGCCAAACGGAAGAACAGGGACGTCGTCACGACGGAACCACCCAAACTGTACGAGAAAACTTTAGAGAAAGCAAAAACTGAAACGCTCACTTCGAACTTGATCAACACAACTATCAGCTCACAGAGCAGCACTCTGAGAAGGAACATCGACAACTTCCTACTGTCCCGCAGGATATTCGCTCTGGAAGAGGACATCTACGAGAAACCTATAACGTACAGTATAAAAAACTCGACTTGCGGCGAGAACTGGTCGCTGAGCAAAGCTTGGAAGAACAACAACAGCGATTTCTTTAATCGCTCTCCAGTCTTAGATTCTGAGCGTTTAGTAAACCGTGATTACCCTCAGTTGGAACGTATAGACGAAGTGCCGAAGAAAAGGAAGCGGGACAAGAGATTTAAGGAGCAAATCCGGTACGACAGGAACATAAAGAGGCACATAAGGATAAGGGTGATGCTTTCTTTGAGGATGAGGAGGTATATGAAGCGAAGGATGCGGAAACCGTTGCAGATCAGCGCTCAGAATGTGAATATTCCACCGAGGAGATTTCCCAGAGGTTCATCGACCAACTCCAGTTTCGGGACCAGGTCTTACAGGAGTGTGATGACTGATAAACTCGGTGATGGCGCGGTGCTTTTCGATGTGCATGAGGCGAGGAATTCCACTTTGGAGCTGTGCCACGATTACGAAGATGATCTCGACACGCTAGATATCGCCTTACGCGCCGGCAATTTTAGGTAATAAACTCATTTCACTTTTAATATAAGCACAGATAATACTTCTGTTTTGCGAATAAGCGAAAGTAACTGTAATTGAGGGTGTTATTTTGTGTTGTAGCAGGCTTTGACGGTAGATATACTGTGGTGTATTCTGATTATTGCTGCAAGTTTATATACTTTCCAAGCATGAATTCTGTTTAAGTGACTTGTTTTATAGGGATCTCAAATAATAAATTTAGGTATATCGCCTTGCCGGGTTTGGCAAATCAATAAATTACTAATAAGCCACAGTGTTTCGCGTAAGTGAAACATTAAAACATTAATATAATTTCGATCCATATTTGTCTTCTGTTAATAAAAATGACAGACCTCAAAGTTTGCAAGGAAAACAAAATACTGCTCTGATTGTATATTTTAATGAAAAGGTACTTTCTAAAACTTGTTTCCTAATTCGAGTTGAATTTGATACATCTTTGACCCTTTGTCAACCTCACAGAAGACATGTCGTGACGAAGAACAGTTAGTTTAAATACATTTACATATACGAGAATATGTACTCTTACCATCTAGAAATGCCGGGTTGAAGGTGCCTGCCAGGCACTGTACGAAAGTCGAATGGGGGCATATTTTTACGAAGTTTTTTATAAAGTGAACGTGTTAATTTTGGTTTCGATTGTTAATTTCCTTATACGCACGAGTAGTTTATTTTAATAAAATACTAAGCTCCTATTTGGTTGTATATAATCCATTTATATTGTATTTAACTAATTAAGATTATATATTGATTAGTTTCACAGTCCTCATTCGTGCGTGTGTTTATTCGTTTTATGTTTCTGGCGTTGAAAGTTGAAAGTTTAAACAATATTTTTTCCCTTCCTTTTACAAACTTAACACAACAATTGATATTTTGGACCATTTTCAAGTTTCGTAGTAAGGAAATTACGAATCGTTTATGTTAAATGATTAGGCAGAATTTAAAGTAACCCTGTATATTACAACTTTGAATTAATAGAAAATAGTCCTCGGAGGTCTTATGATATAATTCATTTCGAGATACCTTTAAAATATTTTTTTGACAGAATGCTATAATTAAAAGTATTTGCATGGGTTATTCACCAACTCGATACAAGAGACTGGACACACGCATGTCTACACTTATGGCCTCTATCGCTTCGTTGTCCCAGGGCCTTCACACCTTAAAATCTGGCCCTATCAAGTATATATGCTATCATCAAGTATATTTGCCTCCATATTAATAAATGATGAGATTATTAAATTGTTATAAGTATATATTTGTTTAATCTCAAAATACCTAAAATAGAAATTGATACGGCTTTCCAAACGAATAAGTGAGAAAGATTTTTCATAAAATCGCCTCGTTCTTTAATTAATTAACCTAAGTTACCTGTTTTCTATAAAAAACTGAGTGAGTCCAGTTGCCGAAAACATAAAAGTGATTTAATTTAAGTTTCACTATGTAGACATGCATAAAAATTTTGCTGTGTTCACATGACTAAAAAAATAAGTGATACTAATATTAAATTTCACCAACTGGACACACATGCCCAGTTTCTTGTATCGAGTTGGTGAATAACCCATTAACGGGTGATGATAATGTCAAGCGAAAAGCAACGCCTTCGCAGTAGTAGTAATTAAGTTCCATACCGGTAAAGGTAGTCAATTTACACAGCGATATTTACTTAACAATCTTTTTCTAAGTTCATTCACTTTATTTTTAATATACCTAAACGTAGTATGTCAGTCATAGCATTAATATTTCGCCCGTCCATCTGTGCGTGACTGATGGAAGGTTGGCAGGGTGTAGGGTTAGCAGTAACACTGTCATCAATATTAAATCATCATCACATTTCGATTGAATAATTATTAGGTCAGCAAATAAATTCAAAATCAACAGTTTAATGATCTAATTAGCTTTTTAGTTAATATACTTTTGAAATCATGGTAATCGGTTTATTCGTTGCGATTTTATAACAAATTTTATGGGAGCCAATATTCACCGGCGGCCGAAATGTGTGACGTCACAGGGCTCGATCGTGGTTCAATCCGGTCGAACTTTAGTAGCGTCTCTAAGCACGCTCGCGCCCGAGCGCTAGAGCTCTTTGACGTCACAGTCACCACGTGGCTAGCCGAAACTTCGTTCAGTAATTTGGTCATAACTTCGTCAATACTTGTCGTAGAACAAAAATTTAACAACTGAATTGGTATTAAGAATTCCATTAAAATAGTCATTATTCACTGACATTAATAAAGTTTATGTTAATATTTCACTATGCCTTGTACGTGCAGATGTTGTGTTAACGATCCTGATAAATGTTATGCTTGTGGTGAATACATACTGAAAGATCAGCGAAAATCTATTACAAACACTGTAAGCCGTTTGTATTTTGCTTACTTCGGTATTGAAATTCGACAGCAAGATAAAGTATGGGTGCCTCATAGTGTATGTAAAGTATGTGTTGAACATTTGTGACAATGGGAGAAAGGGACGCGCAAGTCTTTGGAGTTTGGAGTGCCTATGATATGGCGAGAACAAAAATCATTATGACGACTGTTAGTTTTGTATGACTAATATTAGGTTGTAACAAAAACAATCGTCATAAAAGGTAGTACCATAATATTTCTTCAGGACAAAGACATATTCCTTATTCAGAAAATGTTCCAGTACCAGCTTTTTACCAGGTAGTGCAGCAATCTCATGAAGATCAAGTTGAAATACCAATTTCTTCTCAAGTAGATGATGATTTTGAATACTGCGAAAAAACATCAATTCCCAAAGCCATTTTCGCAGAATCAGCTTAATGACCTTATCAAAGACTTAGATCTTTCTAAGAAACGCTCTGAGTCACTAGCGTCAAGATTAAAAGAAGAATATTGCCTTTCTTGAGACGTTCGAGTGTCTACATATCACGTATCACGAGTAGCACTAGAGAAAGAAGCTTATAGCAGTTTTTTTCATCCAATTTTGTGTATTGCTGTAATGTAAGTGGTTTGCTGACTTTCATGGGTTTCACGATCTATCAGCCCAATGAATGGCGTCTCTTTATTGACAGTAGTAAACGAAGTCTCAAAGCAATTCTTCTACATAATGGAAACAAATAATTCAATTGCTCACTCAACATGTTTGACGACCTCCGTGGTCGAGTAGTTTGTACGCCGGGTTTCATGGTGTCGCCGACTCGAGAGGTCCCGAGTTCGAATCCCGGTGGGGGCAGATGTTTGTGTGATGAATATGAGCATTTGTACTCCAGTCATGGATGTTTAATATGTATTTCTATATAATTATACTTATACATGTACGGTATACATATTCTATCCGTTACCATAACACAAGCCTTGCAGTCCTTATTTTGGGGCTAGGCTAATTGGTGTGAGAGTTGGAAATATTTATTATTATGTGTGAAAGAAAAATATGAGGTAATTCAATCCTTCTACTGAAAATAAAATATTTTGAACATGACTGGGTGATCTGCGTCGATTCGATTTGAAGATTGATATTTTTTATTGGTTCAACAGAGTGGTTGACAACAAGGCACGTAAATCCGTTGGTCTAGGCTGCATTTGCAGTCGTTAGCACCCACCAATCTGCACTAGGCCCGCGTGGTGGGTCATGGTCCAATCTACCTATTCCATCCATAGGGAAGGCCTGTGCCCCAGCAGTGGGGACGTTAATAATATTTCCAAATAAATAAATATTTCCCACACTCACACCAATTAGCCTAGCCCCAAAGTAAGCACTGTAAGACTTGTGTTATGGGATACTAGGGTTACGGATAGAATACATATACATATACTGTACATATATAGGTATATTTATTTATAAAAACATATTGGATGTTTAATATGTTTTTATAAATTTTTATAAATGACTGGAGTACAAATGCTCGTATTCATCACACAAACATCTGCCCTCACTGGGATTCGAACCCGGGACCTCTCGAGTCAGCGACACCATGAAACCGGGCGTACAAACCACTCGGCCACGGTGGTCGTCAAATAGGCGATGGATGATGAACGCAAGATGTATAATGTGCTATTGATGGCATATTTTCATTTGCTGACCCTCGTTTTAGTAAAAACAGCTGAACGCTGTCACCTCCGGATGGACAGGCACCGAACCGCGACGGCTTTGTCGCTGACCCTACGCTTAAACACCGCACCATGTGGCATTTCGCTTGTGTTCAAACTACCAGTTCTCATTATTAATTATGGGAAGTGTTGTACATGAAATATTTTTAATTTATTCCTTTTTTATAAGCTATATCTACTCATTGAATTTGAAAAAAAGTGTTTTGATGTAATTTGAGTTAGCACCATAATAAAATTTGACTGCGACTGCGACTTTGAATTGCGAAAGTTAAGAGAGGTACTGCATAGCGGATTTCTGGATATTTGTGACGAATTGGCTCAGAAAGTACTGAACCGATTTTAAAAATTATTTAACCATTTGAATGCTACATTATCACTGATTTATATAGACTATAGTGTATTTTCAAAAAAGTTAGGGTTCCGTATGAAAACTTCGATAATGTAACCCAACGTGTGTAACAAATACCAAAAAATAGCTTTATATCTCGTACGCTGCGGAAGTCATGACAAAAGAGTAAAGTGATGTACTAAAGTTTTATAGAGTATACCAATATCTACAAAAAAGTCCGCGATACTATATGTCTAACTATTACAGTTATGTCACAACTAGAGGTCCCCTGCGGTTTCACCCGCGTTCATTTGAAGAAAAAGGTTTATAGTGAGTCAAATTTAAAATATGGACATAGGCTGTCGTAGACTTTTTTACAGAACTTTTGAAGGGGAAGAATTCCGTCATACATGATTTTTTGTTTTACTTTAACCGTTTATCGAGTGCACGTAACGGAACCTCTCACAACTGGAATATCTTTACCCGTTTTTGCAACATTTTTCATCTATAATCCGCTGCTACTGGCCATAGCCTGGTAACTTCAAGCTTATAGCCTTCCTCGATAAATGCACTGTCTAATACAAAAATATTTTTTCAAATCGGAACAGCAGAGCTATGTTGAATTCGGTACAACGGGTCCTAAACTACGCAAAGAATTTTTTACTTGGAATGGAAGTTTTATAATCATTATTATGAAGAAAGTCATTGCATATAATACAAGCCTTTGAACAAAAACTATAGTCTACACTACAGCTCTACACCGAAGCAAAGCGAGGGCGGGCCACTAGTAGGCGATATATGGTGAACGGTTACTATCAGGCGGACCACATGGTGATTTGCCACTCTTTTAACATAAAACACCATATGAACTATATATGTACGAGCCGACTCGTACAGTCTTGTCTCGTTTGCACTTTACGCCACATTCGATAATTTAGGTCACCTTCACATATCAGTCTGCCATCGGTATTCATTCTAGCCGCGCAAACGCATATCAATTATCATATCATTTTTATAAGTTTAATTTGTTGAATATATCTTATATTTTATATCAGGACTTTTACTTTATCAACTCTGTCATAAAAATGTGTGCAAACCGTACAATATAATTATGCTTAAGGCCACATGATTATGCTGAAAATTGTATGCGATAATCAGCTTAATTATACAGTGATAAGAGATTTTGTAATTTTTATATTATTGCGCTGGCTAATTAGACTCTGTGTCTTCATATCGCACACTGATTATTGTGTAAATGTGTAATATAATAAGGGCTGTATTAACGACGTATAGAGTTGGGTTCCTAATTTACAGTGCCTTTTATAAACAAACAAATCTTACGTACGTGCTATAATGTCCACGCACTGATCATAGATTAATAATGTCAAGTCAATGACCCGTGGCAAAACTCACGATTCTACGAGTCATTTTGTATGCGACTGAACAGATGAGCTTTTACTGTCGTTTGACCTCACGCGTTCAAGGCCGCTTGAGTCACTTTTCCCATAATAATAAATAAAATAATATTAGAAATAAATATTTCCGAAATTCACACCAATTAGCCTAGCTATTGAAGAAAAATGAAGACGTATTCATAATAATCATTATCATAATCAAAATCATTTATTCAGTTTAGGTTGTTACTAGCACATATGAATGTCTAGAAGCTATTCCATCGGTTCGTAAATCTACGGCGGAAGACCTTGTACTGAGAAGAACCGGCAAGAAACTCAGCAAGGGCAGTTTTTTTCTCCCTGTTTTATCATTTACAGAGTCGTCAAGTTGAAAAATGGCTTCAGAGATGGTTCATGAAGTCACCTTTCATTACATAATGTGAAATTATACATTAATTGTTCATCTGCATTTTGATTGCTGTGACACACAGTATAAATACAAATAGAGTTATTTATAATAGGTATTAAATTTGTAAAATACATGTATTACACCTTGGTGTTAACAAGGGGTAAGAATACTTACCATAACATACCTTTCTTCCCAATAGATAGCGATTCAGCCTCCGATCTTAGTATTGTAATTTTAATCGCGTCTGCGGGGTACGTTTGCTTTCTGTAAAATCGCAACTAAGCCCAGAATTGATTTGACTCAATTTAATAATAACAATTTATTATACTTGTTTACATTTTAATTATTAAATTGAGAGATCGTATAGGTAACTTATATTAGTGGATCTAACTAAATGGAACTGTTGGGAATAAAGGATGTTTTCAAGTATTTTGAAAAATTAATTATACTCTTTTTTTATTTCATCATTAAAACAGGTAATAAAAAATATTATTCCAAAGGTCAAGTTTAACTAGATCATAGTGTTATCGCTATTTTATTTAACGTGAGACAACATAAAAAAATATGATGTTTATGATGTCTGAAGTTTAAATTAAATATAAATATGTTCATTTCATATTTTCTATTAAATAATTATTTTCATTAATGTGAACGTTAATATGGAACTTGGTTCAAGATTTACAGCGCCACCTATCGCTGAGCGGCGAAACTAGTTAAACTAGTATGTCTCAGTGAGTGGCAGTGCTTGCAAAACTTTCTAGGGGTTTTAGCTACCCAACGATAGGTGGCGCTAGTTTAGATTCGTGATGCGTTGATGTCTTTCCTATTGAAAGATTATTTAAGATAGGTATATTGTGCAACAATTTAATGTTAATTTTATAATTACAACCTGCTAATTAAAATAAATTTGTACAAAATAGTAATTAACTTTACTTTCATTATTCAATGACTTATACGATGTTGAGTTTTGTTTTGTAATACCCATTATCTTCTTTAGGATTTTTTACGTAAACATGTATTCGGCAAATCCGGGGCGTAAATGATAATTCTTTAATAAGTTGTATGCAACAAGCAAATATAGTTAGTTCAGGCTAATTAATATAACTTTTGGTGTTCTAAGATCTAAGGTATTTATTTTAAAACTGTTTTTGTATAAAAAATATTTTTTGTTCATAGCTGCATCTGGAAATATATTCCCACAGACGCTTACTCTGCCTGTGCAGCCAGCAGCCTATAGCTTGACGTGCTTTCCGAAGCACAGAGGACTGAGGAGTCTAGATTACAATTTTTGGGTCACGCTTCCGATGACATGCCTTAATAGTCTGACTTTGCTTTGCATCTTAAACTGCAGACTAAATAAACTTATCGCTGTGTCATAGCATAAATAGGTTCTTTCTATCAATTGATTTTTGCTATCTTTATAAAAGAAGCGTTTAAAAGCATTAAAATTAGCGTATTAAATAAAGCAGTTCAGTATGGATTACCTCGTGTGAAATGCTGTTTCCAGGCATATTGATAATTAATTGGTAATATTTCCGACGCTACCAATGTTTCCCTTGGTTATATTTAACTGAGAATATTCCCGTAAAATGAGAAAGAGTAAATTACTGGGTATTTTGATTATTCCTAATGGCACATTACCGCCTACTTCTATACAACTACTTAAATTGTGTTGTCCTGTTATCTGAGCATGACTCGTACCTACGAGTATGAGAGAATGGACTGGGGCACTCGCATGAAATTGCCAGCTCTCCGGGAAGAGAGAAAACGTTGGTGCTTTAATCGCTCCGTCTACTTCACACTTACGTGCCCAGTTCAGTTAACAGTTGGTTCAGGGATGCTTTATCCCCATCAGAGGGGGTGATATCTGAGTAGCTTAGGCTGTTCGAACTCTTCACTGACTTCTGTCACTTGCGTCTCCCCTCTCATTTCTTAGGAGAAGGGAACGGAAGCCGCAGTGTACCGGAGACGGGGCACCTGCTCCTGCACAACGGTGAGGGGAGAGGGAGAGGTAGAACTCCCGCTCTCGCTCCTCCGGGAACCAGCGGGCTGGTGTAAGAGTGCCATGTGCCTGTCTGTATTGCATGGTTTCTGTGATGTATGGTGCTCATGATGCTCCAGAGAATCGCAAGTCGAGGTGCGCCCGGCTACGGACAATCACCGGCAGTTTCAACACAGAGTGTGTGTCGGGGGACAGATGCAGGAGTATTTTCTGGTTTATACTGGGCAGGGCCCAGTTTATTGCATCGAGCATACGGGCTGGGGGTAATGATGTAGGGAGAAATCCTCAGATATTCTCGTTGTACGCTCCCGGTGGCGAAGGAAGGCGTCTTCTTGTATTTTAGCCATACAGTTTGAATCGCACCTGTTTCGGAGGTCTTCAAAATAGGTGTTGTTGATTGGTTTCTGTTGTTTATTGCCACAGGAGCGGTCGGCTAGCTGTCGAAGGGTGGTGGTGCGGGCGAGCCATGCCAGCGGGCGGCGGAAGCGGGCGCGCCAACAACGGGGCGCTCGCTCTGCACTACGCGGCTGCGCGCGGTTGCCTCGACTGCGTGCGCCTGCTGGCGAACACCACGCCTGACGTCTGGTGAGTGCCCACCATACATATAGATGGCGCGTGCTGTCAACAATGGGGCGCTCGCTCTGCACTACGCGGCTGCGCGCGGCTGCCTCGACTGTGTGCGCCTGCTGGCGAACACCACGCCTGACGTCTGGTGAGTGCCCACCATATATATAGATGGCGTGCTGTGAACAACGGGGTGCTCGCTCTGCACTACGCGGCTGCGCGCGGCTGCCTCGACCTTGTGCGCCTGCTGGCGAACACCACGCCTGACGTATGGTGAGTGCCCACCTTACATATAGATAGCGCGTGGTGTCAACAACGGGGCGCTCGCTCTGCACTACGCGGCTGCGCGCGGCTGCCTCGACTGTGTGCGCCTGCTGTCGAACACCACGCCTGACATATGGTGAGTGCCCACCATACATATAGATGGCGTGCTGTGAACAACAGGGTGCTCGCTCTGCACTACGCGGCTGCGCGCGGCTGCCTCAACTGTGTGCGCCTGCTGGTGAACACCACGCCTGACGTATGGTGAGTGCCCACCTTACATATAGATGGCGCGTGGTGTCAACAACGGGGCGCTCGCTCTGCACTACGCGGCTGCGCGCGGCTGCCTAGACCACTCGAACCTGAGGGGGAGTCGTCACCTGAGGGGGCTGCGTGCGCCATCTGACGAACACCACACCTGACGTGTGCCCCTTGGTCTGCATGAGCACCGCTTTTTTATCACCCTTAATTGTCAAATTACTGTGGAATTTGACAGTGAGACGCGATAGAAACGTAATATAATGTGATGGTCATGTTACTGGGACTGGTGAGTGCTCGCCATACACAAGGATACGATAGAATATAGCGTCAAATTTTGTTCTCTTTGACCATTTATCTGCCGCTTAGGTCACTAGGACCTTCTCCAAAAAAGAGATTATTGACCGAGATCATGATGACACGAGGGCAATTCTTAATGATTTGAGTTTCTTTGTTAAATACTCCTATATTATCTAATATGTTTACATATCACTAAAAATTTCTTCCGCCATCTGTATACTATGTTATACACTACTAAACGGAGTTTAATGCCTAATCAACACCTTGGCTAGTTGTTGAGAACTTGTAGAGTAGAACACATCTTTAGGATCTACAGTTACACTTATTCCACTGTTTATTTCTGAGCAGTTTTGTAGAACGAGGTGCACCAGAAAATAATGCAATAAAAATGCGTCAGCAACATTAAGGTTCCAGCGAGCATGACCATCGGCCAAGCTTAGATTTTTTGATTTTCGATTGAACTTGGTTGAGTGAAAAAAAAAATTCTCTAATTTAAATAAATAAATAAATTAAATAATATTTTTTTTTTAATTATTTTTTTAACAAAGATTGAGCAAGAGAACGAACTAATATTTCAGTAAACATTCACTCGTTACATCGACATAATAAATCAATTGTACAGGAAGAAGCATGCGTAATCATAAGTACAATCAACACGAAAAAGTAAATACTTATTAAAAAACTGTTTTGTGTAATACACTGGTTTATTTGTAAGTTTTCTTCGTAAACTACAATAAATATGCTGAACCAACGAACTCAGCTACTTATCTTAACGACATTTGCGTCACTCAGTTGCATTTTATGATTTTTTGAAAATTCTGGGAAAATTACAGTAACTTCGACAAATTTTCCCAAATCAACTTGAAATTTTTTTTGAAGGTTATTATGGCAAAATTATATGAAACATGTAGTTGTGTAGAAAGGATGAGTCTGAAAGTAGTTAATCACTTATCGATAAATCAAATTCATAGTTAGTCAAACTGTAACAATGTCTTTTGATTCCGACTATACTATAACTATAAAAAAAAAGAAATGAACTCCATTATTTCCATTTCCTATAATTTAGTAGCGAACACGCAAAATTCACATGTTCATACCTTATTGGTTCTAAATTATGGGTTAGACGGTCACACGCCGCGGGCCACGAGACCACAGCTGTTAGTCTTCCAACTTGAGAGTTTTTCACTCAATATACTAATATTATAAATTCAAAAGCTGTGTCTGTCTGTCTGTTACCAAATCACGCTTAAACCGCGCAATCATTTAGATGGAATTTGGTAAAAAGATTGTTTGATTCTCGGTAAAGGACATAGGATAGGTTTTATTTATAAGTTCTGTATGTATGGGAAATCAATTCTCGGGCATCAGCTACATTAATATTATGTCAATAACCTCTCCATGCTTAAACCGCTGAATCTATTTAGATGGAATTTGGTATTGTGATTGCTTAAATATAAAAATTGTTTCTTAAACCTAGTAAATAAATAGATCCCAAAAATCATCATCCAAGGTGTAAGCAAGAGGGATGGAAGTTTGTATGTAAGGAAAACAATTTTTCCACGCAGACGAAGTCGCAGGCAGCTAGTATACTTTAATGGTTTTTACTCTCAGCTGCAATAACGTTAGCCGGACGAATAACGGAGTGGACGCAGCTAGTCACGCGCATACATATAGAGATATCGATGTGTTATTATGGGATTAATGTACTAGAATACTCTGTTATGTCTGCTCATGCGTTCACTTATGGCAATGCAACTTTGGAAGTAACGAACTTGGAAGTAGGGGTTTTATAAATTGCATTTGATTAGAAAACTAGATAAAATGTAAGGAATGTATATGGTTTTAAACTTTCATGTGTAAATAACATTATAGCTTTTAACGGGATTGTTACCGTGTACCTTGGATTTCTTTTAACTCCGTGATGAGTTATTCCGTGATCATGGCGCTTGCAACAGTGCCGAAATATCGGAGACTCATAGAAAGAAAGAAAGAAAGAAAAATGTTTTTATTGTTGACAACACATAACATAGATATAAAATGCAAAAATACATATTATATCATAAAGTAAAACAAAACGAACAAGTAAAATTAACAACAACAAAAAACAGGTACAGAGAATAAATGTGTAGTATTATAAGTTATTTACGGGATTGTTACCATGTACCTTGTTTTTAGTGAGTATCCGATATTTCGGCAATGTTGCAAGCGCCATGATCACAGAGTGCTCCGTACACTCGCTAAAAACAAGGTACATGGTAACAATCCCGTAAATAACTTATATTACTATAATGTTAGTGACCATGAAAGTTTAAAACAATATAATAAATGTGTATTTTATATTGCATCAACACTGGATTGGCTCAGCATACACAGCAGATAAAATTCCTGCTGCACTGGTATTCTGCCATACCCAGAGCAGTGACATCACAGAAAACACATTATTAAGAAAAATATACTGCTGTCCACAAGCTAAAACGCGACTAAATGCCAAAACCAACTTTCAAACTCAAACTCAAATCATTTATTGCAACCATAATGTGTACAGTGGGTAGGTACTTATATAAATATGAACATTATGGACCCCGTCGGGTACGCAATTGGTTATTAGAAGAGAGGATACGCTTCTCAGACTTTTGAGATATGGCCAAAAAACTTTTAATTCTTGCTATTTTGTAACCATTCATCACATGGCGGATTTTTAGACTTAAACTATAAAAGATACGAATACTTACTTTTTTTTTTTAGTGAAATTTTCTTTAGATTTAAATACGAATACTTGTTAAATACAGATCGATTGAGAATTAAAAACAGTATAAGATGCAATTTAAGACTGAAAATTCGACCACATGTCACTTAGCCGCAATTTAGTTTGAGGACGGCAGCATAAAAATCAAGGTTCCTACATGGTAACAATCCCGTTAATAGCTAAAATGTAAGTATCTAACTAAACAGTTATTTAGTTAGATTTTTACGGTGATCTATCCATTTCATGAGTGTTTTGTTAAAAAAGGAAGCTATGTTTTTATACTATTATCATGTTGAAGAGTTGGACGGATTTCTCTCGTATAAGTTTTAAGATGTCACTGAAATGTATGTAAGTAATATTGATGAGCCGTGCGTTCCACAATAATGGGCGATGCGCACGCTCCGCTGACATTCCATATTTGCGTGGACCAATGGCGATAAATCTTTGAGACACGTTAATTTCCTTGGAGAATTTTCGATTCTTTTTCTTCGCGATGTTTTTTAAAGAAGAATATCTTACTATTCCGCCTTATGCTTTTATAAATAATAAATAAATATGTCCAACACTCACAACCAATTAGCCTAGCCCCAAAGTAAGCACTGTAATGCTTCTGTTATGGGATGCTAGGGTAACGGATAGAATACTTAAACTGTACATATATGAGTATATTTTTATTGAAATACGTAATCAAACATCCATGACTGGAGTACAAATGCTCGTATTCATCACACAAACATCTACCCCCACCGGGATTCGAACCCGAGACCTCTCGAGTCGGCGACACCATGAAACCCGGCGCGTACAAACCTCTCGACCACGGAGGTATAGAGTATAGAAATATAGATGGATAGATTTTCTATACACACATTTATGTGTAATTGCAAACTGTATCGCAGTTTTACCGCTACCACTGCATTCCCGGTTAAACTGTTACCGTGCAGTATTCCAATGGGTGGCCAGATCGCAACGAGATTGCATACCGTGCGATGGTGAATAAGATTGCGTACGTAACGCTTTCTACAAAGCGTTTAATTCACACTTCTTAACTTAATACACTCATCAAATATAATTTTGTGGCTTTTTAACTTAACCACGGATTACTGGAATTATGTATGTCAAAGAGCTCGATAGCGCAGGTGGCTAGCGCGTTCCGCTGCGATCGATGAAGTTAAGCAACTTTCGCAGTGGTTGGTATTTGGATGGGTGACTAAAAATCTTCTATCTCGAGTTCCTCCGTGCTTCGGAAAGCACGTTAAGCCGTTGGTCCCGGCTGCATCTGCAGTCGTTAGCACCCGCCAATCCGCACTGGGCCCGCGTAATGGATCATGGTCTAACTTCCTATTCCATCCTTAGGGAAGGCCTGTGCCCCAGCAGTGGGGACATTAATAGGCTGATGATGATGATGATGAAGTTTGAACCCAGACAGGGTTTTAAAGGAACGCAAATCTTCACCAAG